AACTGACATTATTTAATGTTCTCAAAAACATGTTATTCATATTTATTTGGTACAATCAACAATGAGAAAATTACTGATTTTATGTACATTATCAGGTTTAAAAAATAAATTTTTCTTTACAGTAAAACCTCTCTGTCACTTGCATTCTAAGGAATAAATTAAACCTACCATAAAATGTTTAAAATACAGTGGCATTTTAGTTTATGGGGTACTTTGGCTCTATAAAGACTACTTGCTTGTCCAAAGAACCAGGTTTCAGTCAATGATAAATTAAAACTCTGAATTAAAACACTATCATCAATGACATTCTTCCTTATAAATTGCCAAAAAGAAGCCCAAACAAAATCTGTTGTACTACTACAAGTATCTAAAGCCGATTTACAGTTACAGTTTGCTCACACTGTGGGCAAAGAATACTGATCTTTCAAACAGATGTCAAATATTAAATTAATATATTCTTTACATAGTAAGAAAGTTAACTTTTTCTTTTTCTGTAAGCTGAAGATGGTCATGTACAAAAAGCAGCATTGCAAAGGTATGAAATATGAAAATGATATGAAAACGACAGATCAGTTATGAAAGAGACAGTTGACAAATTTGTTATTTTGCTGTGTTTTTTTTGTTTCATGGGCAGAAATCTTAACTGTGAAGGAGCTGTTGCTGCACACATATGAACAGAAGAACAAGGAAATGAAAAATTAATTCATTTAATCTTTGTCACCCTATCAATAGTGCAATAATGATCACACAGGTGTAGAATGCCCATCACAACCTTAAATTGCTCCTCATAATATTTCTTTCTTTACATATGCTTTCACTATATAACATTATCCATGCACTAACAGTGATGTTCCTAATAAGATTGTTTTGGCATGGGAAAAGTATTTTGGTACAATAATGATAAGTCTATAAAACATGTAGAAAGCAGCCTGATGACATCAGTGTCTGCCTGTCCATTGGTTTCCCTCAAACTTCAGCTAGCATTGGGATGATGTTTTGGAATTTCTTTCCTCCATAAAATAATGCGTGAAGGCAGAGGATGCATCACTAGAAGGAAACCAGTTCTGTAGATGACTGATAGAGGTTTACTATCTATCTGCCACATCCTTCCCATTGCTCCATGCCCCCCTTCTCTCCTATACCTTTAGTTTCTTTTGAAGCTGCTCCTATAAACTAAAGCTGCGGGTTCTTCAAGTCCATGAAAGTCATGAATCTCATCTTGTCAACAGTTTTAACAGTGGAAAACCTTAAGCTTCATCCTTTTCCTGTTGATGTCCATGGCAAGCACCAAGCAGCTCAGAAAACCACAGCCTCCATATTGTTCGTGTGGTCCGCAGAGTGAATATACAGCACAAGTAATTCTGTTGTCATGAGCCAAAATCTTCCAAAATTTCTATGTTTATTATTGCACAACCTGACATACACACATTACCTAACAGTATTACATTATTTGGTCAAGTTCCTATACTAGTATTGCTCTGCCTACGTTCATAAACATTAGAGCTTTTGCTAACTGAGCTGACACAAAATATATGGACTACTTTAAAATGCATTCTTATAAATGTAAATTTTTCCACAACATAATACAAACAATCTGTTATTCAAACACATAATAGTAATTTTGCTTATTGTGAACAGCAACAAAGCAGCTCCCATTATCTATTTATGCACAAGTAATTCAAACCCACAACCATGTCACTCTAAACCATTTAAATTAATAATGTTACATACAAATAATGAATAGGCACCATCGCATTAAATGTAGTAGTCTTTTCCTTCTCAAAAATTGCTTTTTGGTGAGATCTATTGTTAAATAAGGTGTATGACTCTTTGAAAAGATTTTTTTTTTTGGTGCATAGTTTCATCTATTATTTACACTACTTTGCTAAATCTGAGGTACATTTTCAAATTATTCTAAGGGAAGTACATTTGGGTACTTGTCTTTAATGAAACCAGGCAAAACCCCCTCTTAGAAATTCATAATGTACAATATATGGCACTCAAAATTTGTGCACGGGAAAAAAAAAATAATATATTGCATGATTTTTTGCGAGCAAGCACAGCTATATGTTTTAAATTAACAGAAGTAGATGCTATCTTTAGTGAGATTGTCTAACTTAGACATTCTTTTCATTTCTACAAAACAGCTATTACACACAGCAACTGAGAGTTAAAGTTCAGAATAAAATAATCATAATCAAACAATGCAAAGCTGAACTTGTAATAGTCAACACTTACGATACTATCGCATTAATTTGTAAAAGTGGTATGGCAGTGTAATTCATAATACTTATGATATTCAATATTTGTTACTGAACAGAAATGACTTTTTAGTTGATGAAAATCATGGTTCATCAAAGCTCCACCTCCATGTGAGGAAGAACCTCTTTCCTGTGAGGGTGACAGAGCCCTGGAACAGGCTGCCCAGAGAGGTTGTGGAGTCTCCTTCTCTGGAGATCTTCCAAATCCACCTGGATGCCACCCTGTGCCACGTGCTCTAGGTGACCCTGCTGGAGCAGGGGGGTTGGACTAGGTGATCTCTAGAGGTCCCTTCCAACCTCAACCATTCTGTGATTCTGTGAACGCTCAATTATTTTAAACTAGTAACATTAGCAGCATTAAAATGGCCAGCCGTATTATTATTCTCTGAAACATTCACCAATTTTATTAGAAATTGTTAACTTTAGAAATGCAAAATGAAGCAGTTATTAAAAGATAGTTTTAATTTAAAATATTAATAATTCTAGAAATGAAATTCTGCAATAAGTAAGTAAAATTAATTAGAGGAATTATTTGGGGAAAATATGGGTCAGCAGCTTGTGATAAGAACCACAAAGCAACCCTGAAAGTTCTGCAAAGTACAGAGCAAGGAAAGTGGCTAATAGTACTTTGTGTATTCTTTTGACCCAAAGTAGTTATTTATTTCAGCTGTATTGTGGAACATGTAGGTGGGAAGGCAGTACACCTGAGTAGCTGCAACTTCTGTGCAAGTGTCCTTTTGAATTTCTTGGATTAGAATTAAAATACACAAGAGCATTAATGTTTCTTGCAATATTAACTGTCCATAGATGAAGACTAACTATGCACACATCACACGAAAGTCAGTGATGAAAGTGAGCTGTATCCCCCCATCGATGAAAACAGAGAGAAAAAGCAAGGCCTGGATCATCTCTCTGAAACAGGGAGCTTCAGGAACAGTTTTATTTCTTCTTGGACAGTGATTAAGAGTCTCCACACTCCAGATCAAGTTAGATTTTTCCTATCCCTTGATAGATTAGAAGAGAATCTCTGACTGAATCTCAGAAACTCTCCGAACTTGTCTCTCCTCTTAGTTTTTAAAAAGGTAAGGATTATACATTCAACATTATTGGTTCAACTGATATTAACTGTATTTTTAAAGTTTGCTGTAAATATAATTTGCATATATAATTCCAATCGTATTTTTTTAAATTAGTGTGAAATGTGACTCAAATACACTACATTTTGAATGTGTGGCATGTATTGTTCTGATCTCCACAGCTTAGCTGCCTAAGAATATATAATACAACAAAAAATTATGGTCAAATAATTCATGTGATTAAGCATATTGTTCAAGTCCTCGCTCCAAGCAGTTTATTCTTTTTATTTTCTTTAAATTTGATCTGTTTATAATCTTGGTAATGTACAGTTTAGTGTGGAAATCTGCGTAACTTCACTGAACCATGATGTTATTTCTATTCTGATTTTCATCAACTAAAGTGATTTCTGTTCAGTAACAAATATTGAATATCATAAGTATTATGAATTACACTGCCATATCACATTTACAAATTAATGGGATAGTAAGTATTGTAAGTGTTGACTATCACAAGTAATTAAACAGGGTAAGAATCATACTTAGAGTGGCTCCTATTCATTGAAGTCTGAATCCTACAGAGCGGTCTGATAATGAGGTAGAGTTTGGAACAATAAACTACTTTCTCCTTAAATAGCTTATGCAAAAATCTCAGTTAGAAACAGGGAAGCCATCAATCTGGGGACTGTAACATAGAAACCTGCTGAATAGCTGGATATCATGCATTCAACTGGAATTTCACTAGCAGTGACCAAAGCAGAAAACACAACAAAGAAATTGTAGATTGTTCTTCCTCTTCACAGGTGCATTGGCCAAGTTATTATTTCAGCCAGAAAAAAAAATCTTTATACACAATATCTATAAATACAGCCTACATATTCTGTAACTTTAAATATCTTTTTATAACAACATGAAATTACTATCGGAATGCCCTACAGATCCAGCATCCACTTTTCCTATTAAGATCTCCAGGGTAGAGGAAACTGCAGATACAAAGATTCCGTTCAGATATCTCCATTGCCTTGCTAGCACGGAATTAGGCACTTCAGCTTGGAAATATGAAGAACAAATAGGATTAAGCTAAGAAAGGAAGCCACGTAAGAAGCCATTTCATCAGTCATTATGGAGACACAGTAGCCATTCCCAAGAAATACTATTAGGAGCTTTCAGGAGTGTCTGCTAGTGATTCTCTACCACTCCGAAGGTCAAAGAAGGGTTTCTTCCAGCTGTTGTAGCAGCCTCCAATATGCAATAAACTCCTTTTAACGGGGAGCTAAGATGTGGAGATAAATTAGAAAAAGAAGGATCATTCACTACCTCTGGCTTATTTAAGAGGCGAGCATCAATAACTTATAATACTGCCTTTCAGGGAGCATTTCTATTACACCTAATTGTGCTCAGTTTCAGAATTTTTTTCTACTTCCGAAAATCTTTTTAAGGAATAGGATGTGCAGTTGTGGTTCCACAATGGCAGATATCAAGCAGTAAGAAGCCAAAAAAAGCCATGCACTCACAAAACTATTAATTCAGCACTACTCTCATGTCTATCTTCTTTGAAACATGGTTCCCTCCTCCATAGGAGACCACCACAGTTGATGAAAATAATCTCTTTCCAAATATATACAAAAAGTAGGATCAGCATTTAAAGTGATAACACGAAAATGGACAAGGATGTAAAAAATGTAATTTAAAAAAATAATGTAGAATAAATGCATCCTGTCCAACAATATAAGACTCAGAAAAAAATGCATCTTACCTATACTGACCTGTAATTGTTAATTTTTAAGCTTTGCCAAACATCACTGCTAAACAAATACTAACAGGCTTAACACACTCAAATTTGGAGCATGGCAGCAGCATTTAGAGATACACAAGTATCCTGAACACCCAACAGAAAGCCTAGCATACTCGACCGTTACCATTCTTTCTATGGCAATTTTTTTATTTCCAAGTTGAGAGCTACAAGGCTAATATAGTTATATATCCCATCTGTCACCTATACTTTATTTGGGGAAGGAAGCTGGAAAAGGCTGATATAAGCGACAGAAGTTTGGTGTGTGCCTGAGGAGAGGCAGCTGTACAGCCTTCTAGAAAGGCCCGGAATAACCCCAGCCATGCCGAGTCCTACGGAGCCAATGTGACCCTGACGAGCCTTGGCATCTGAATAACCTTCAGGCAGGCAACAGAAGGATTGCGCTTGAAGGAAATAGAGAAAACCTTATAAAAGCAAATTCTGATAGAAACAGGACTTTAGAATGGCCTCTAAAGGGTTTTTTGAGGCAACATACTATAGAACCCATACGTGAGGGCAGCCTGAGTGTGACTACCCAAAAAAATAACAGGCCAACACAACTTGGTCAGATGGCAGAGAGCATAAATATATATATATATATATATGTGAAAATGTATGAAGATTTTATAAAATCAAAAATGTTGGAATTTTTTTTATGTAAAAAAAAATCCAGAAGCAACAAAAATGTGCTTCACGAAGCATTCCATAAATTAAGGGCTTCAAGTTGTCTTCATGTTGCCACCTTAAAAGAAGAAACAGCTTCTTACATAGACTAGACAGTCCATTGAAGCTGGCAGAGTTTTGCTCAGCTGGCACACTTTTAACTCAATCAGAGCTGCCATTCTTCCTGAAAAGAGAAATTTAATGAGGTAAGGCAAAAACTGCTTTCAGTACATAACTGGCCAGCGAGGATTCTGCTCTCTATACCTGAAAAAAAGATTAAATGTTGCAGTGCAACATGTTGCAGTGCAAAATGTGCAGTAGGCTTTTACAGAAGCTGAAGAAACTATTTTGCTTTTTAGCCTACTCTGAAAATTTTAAGAGAAATACACGGTGTTGTGTGGCTGACACCACTATGAGGCGTGTTCCAGGAACGTGCAGGTCAGGCAGTCTGTGCACGTACAACACACGCAAATTCAGCTACATCCAAGCTGGGAAAGAACATAGCTAGTCAAGGAAAGAGCTCAGATACTGAAACTAAACAGTGGGACTCTAAAGAAAAAACACATGAGCTGGTTTCAACATCCTCAACAGACTCCTCATCGGGGAGTAAACCGGCTGGGTATATTGCATGTAACTGTGGCTGTACTGCACTCCTCGTGCAACATGTTCCTGACTAACAGCAGCTGGTCCTTACAGCCAAGGCCAATTTGCCTTGACTGGTTCAGGGGAGGAAGCTCTCAGCAGCTATGGCAGCAGGGCCCTCTGTATTCCTGTGCTCTGCAGGGGCGAGCTGGGGCTTTGCGTAGTTCACAGGCGAGCTTGGCAGCTCCAGCTTCTCTTTGATGAGTCAGGCAGATCCTTGGATCTATTCCAGACTTCCGTCCTTGAGACTCCAGTCATCCAGAGAGTGGAAAATGTTAACTCCCCTTTTGCATCATACTGCACAAACACACTGTTGGAATGGCTATTAATTAAATTATGAAAATGCTCAGTCCAAAGCCAGACCAGCAGTCAATACCTTTAACAAGTAGGATCGTTTGTATTTCAGCAGTCCGAACCATGTTTTAAAACTGTTGTCAATGACATCTTCAGGTACGATCTTATATAGTCCAAACTTCACACCAGCAGTCTGCGGGATGCCGTGGCCAGTACTGAAAGTCAGAGTATCAGAAAAACAGGTCCTATGCAGGACATCTTGACACTACATTTCATGAGTCCCTATATATCTGAGGTAGGAGGGTTCCACATATGTTATGAATCAGACCTATGGATTTTGCAGAAAATCTCCACATCACTTAAGATCAGTCAGAAACAGGGCTCCATTTGTTGGGTAGTATTAGGCCATAGAATAGAGGAAGAAAAGCAATCAAATCATATCTATTTTAAGGACACATAAAATATAATATGTATACACTTTGTAACACCATTTATAAACAAATAGTGGGTTCTTTCAATTCTTATGAGACAGCTACTCTTTACTGCAGACACATAAACAACTACTCCTCTTTAAGCATAGCAGTGAAAGTGGTTTTTCTGAATGATTTTGAAAGACCTTCCATATGTTGTGATTATGAGATACACTTACATGACTCTATCTATAAGTACTGAAATATAGTATATAGGGGTTTCAAAATAGAGGTGCTTACACTCACTCTTGTCATTAGCATTGCATCAACTTTGCTAACAAGCTAAAAAAACAAACCTAAGACAGATATCTGAATGATAAAGATGGATTGACATATGTGGCAAACATATGATGCATAGTCCACAGAAAAAAAATGATACTTATTCAGATGACGCTTATAAAATATTGCATACCATTTACATATTATAATTTAGTATTTTCTTTAGCTCTTTTAACGTGATTAACAGATTAAACAAGAAAACTAAATAGTGTGAAATCACCTACTGACTGAGCAAAACCAAAGCACTGGCCATGTTTTCTAACAGGTTTAACCACTGTATTACAGAATGGTGGCTATACATAACCTAAATCTTTGTAATATCTGATCTTTTAGAGATACAGCTATTATAATGTATCTTTTACAGATACAGAAAATCTGGATTTTAAAGATACAGGATGAATCTATGTTTTCCAAAGCAAAAGTTACTAAATCAGAACGTCATCAACTAAAGACAACTGGGCATAAATTCTCTATCCTACACTCAAGCTTAACAAAATGGTTGGACAAAAAGAGTTTTCCAAGAGCAAAATGGAGGATGAATCCCTTCGTTTCTTCTCTCAGAAACATCTTATGTCTGAAATAATACCAAAACAGCCGTGTGCTGAGCATGCATTTCATTTGCCTTGCTTTGCCAACAGAGGTCAGAATTACCTCAGGAGCATCCCAAAGCATTACTGTGATGATGACCAGGATTACTATATTAGCATAAAATTACTTTTGAAAGACAAAGAGGATACTTCAACTGGGTATGCTAAGGTTTCAAAATTTTAGGTATCATGAATGTCTTCAAAAGTATATGGACATCAAACAAAAATATCACCATTTTAAAATTTCATTTAACACTGTAACTGAAATAACTAGAAAGGTCATATCCACAACATCACCAGCAAAATAGTGCATAGGCTATTCTCCTAATCACCTGGATCACACATAAAAAAATAAATTCATACTACACAATACCTTGTATAGAACAAAATAATTTATGACACATAGCTTAGAAGGCAAAATGTAATTACAGTAAAACCCTTCACTAAATCTGCAGTCTGTTTATGCGAGAATTTCCTGTTCAAATCCATTATGAGCTATTGTTTCTTTCTATTAAAACCCTTACCAAATGAAGGAATGAAATCCAAGACTAAGAGGTTTAAATGACACAGAAGCTTCTACTACAAAGGAAGATCTGGCTGATGTAGAATAAGCACGGCAACAGATTAAAAAGAAGAAAAACCCACTTGATTTTAAATGTAAACACACTATTTTTGTGCTATGCAAAAAAACTATGATATACTAACTGCAGAGAGTTCTCATAAGTTCTGATTTTCTGGAAAATAAAACAGACGTCTAATCCGCAAGTATTGCAAGTGCTCAGTTCAACTGCAGACTCATGAATCATGAATTTACCACCAATCTTAAAGGTAAAATAATAAATTTGGAAAAAAATATTTATAGGAAGTTAAATGAATAATCTTATCATCTTTCTACTCTTAAAACAGAACTGGTAGGATAGCCCACAAAAATCTGGTTTGGCAGGTATCTTTATATGAAATGTATTACAGGAGTTAGCCATTGGACGAATAATTTAGTATTCTTCTTGAACTGCCTCTCTGGTAAGAGATATTTGGAAAACCCTAATTTGGATGCAAATATTTCTCCCAATATCATTGACTTTGAGAAGCTTGGAATGCAAAACAGTTCGTCGCAACTCCCTCTCTATCATCTCCCATTAACACCATAGGATACACAATAGTCATGAAACAATTATTATTACTACTAATTTTTCGTTTGAATTTAATTCCAAGAATGGTCCTAGTAACAGTAATCCTAGTAATCCTAGTAATCCGCGACCAAATGTTTCAGGTACTACACTAAACATAACACGTATGGACAGACTAGCCTGGAATTTAAAAAGTGATACACTAAACAAAAGGTTATGGAACACTTCTGTGGGATGGCAGATTATGCTTTAATTTCCTTTTTTATGTATATAAATCATATTTGTTTTGCTATTGTGTATAAATTCATTAACCTTTGATTATTTGCATGGAGGACGGGATTATCATTTGCAAAACCACTAGAAAGGTGTAACTTTCCAGGAAATGAGGATGGAAGGTCTGTCATATACAGGAATAAAGGTGATATACATACGAGCTGGATTGTCTGACAGCTGCATAACAGTAACCATTAAAATAATCCAGTCATTCAAACAGGGCATCCTAAAGGGCATTAGAACTTGTCCTAAATTCATATGAAATGTCTATGTTCAAACTCATGATTTGAAAAACAAAAAACAACAACAAAAAGAACAGAGCAGAACTGCAGCAGTACTAACACTGATACCAGAGAAGTGACAGATACATCACTAGCATAGAGAATTGCAACCCTTATCCAAATAATTGTGTATAGACTCCTATTGTGTCATTCCAGAGTAATCTGAACGGACAAACAGAAAAAGTTCTCGGAAAGTTGAGAGATTAATTTATCCTTGGGAATAGAAACATTCTGTTCTGGACAGCTTATTGTGGAAATTTTTAATAATCAATCTTTGCCAGACAAAACCATAAACAAAATTTCCGATCCTCTAAAAAAACAAAATACAGTTCTACAACCAGTCCAGCAATAAATACCCATGATAGCAAAATATTTCTTTTTCCTATTTGACAGAACAATTCGGTCATGTCAGAGACAAAAATTTTATATCAAATTCAGGACATAAAATGATTTCAGAACAGCTTTGGAGGCTTTTTTATATGTCAAGATGAATATTACAAATGCAGGGGTGAAAAATGGCCAGAAGATAAGGAACTGGATGGGACAGGTTAAAAGCCTGGTTCTGCCCCTTTATATAACTTTGAATTGATCTTCTTTGACAGTGTACATACTACTGTCTTCAAAAGGCAAAAAATAAAATGGTGAGTGAGTACAACTATATATTTAGATGAGATATAAACTTAGCTCGATGCTCCATAAAATTGCTTGGAATCTCAATTTAAGAACTTCCATTCCTTTCCATGGGAAAGGTTAGCACTACTAAAGCAAGAGCCTTCGTTAGGCTGACAGATTAATTTCAGGATTGTCTATGATATTTTTGCCATCTGATTCTCAAAAGAGTTAATTAAAGATTGTCTTCCTTCTCATTAACGAAAGACTTAGTTAAATTCAACCAAATAACTTGCCAATCTCATCTGAAGAATCAAACTTCCTAATTACTTTTGTTGTTATCTGTCACTCCAATAACAGGCATTGCTTCTGGGCTTCGAGACTTTATTATTATTTAGCTGCTGGACCAAACAGCTAACATCTATGCTAGGTGAAATGAAAGTATGGGGCCTCTGAATCTAACAAAAGCAATGATGTGCACTGTACGTAGTTGAGAAATCTAGAGCTAATTTGTGTAATGAAGAAGCATCTCAGAGAGTCTGAAATCCTGTTATCCTTTTCTCCTTATCTGAACATCTCCCAACATATACTCAAAAGAAGAGAGAACACTAATTAAACAAAGAATCTCAGAAATCTCTGAGGAGATGAAATGTGGCTGATGCATTTATGTGACCAGTTAGATGTTTATAAACTCTGCACAATTTAATCCTTGATTTCAATAATAAAATTGTAGCCACCATGGTTATGAAAATCTTCACTTTGAACTAATATTGGTTAAATTCACAAACAGAATGTATTTCTCTGACACACTTTCATTTATCCCCAGTCACTCTCAACAATTTAAAAGCCTTAAGCAGCTTCCAGACAACCATTCTTAGGCGCTTCGGCTAAATGTAACAGAGAGGGAACTACATCAGCCTCATCACACATCTTAACTTATAAAATGTCAGAAGACAATCTGGGATCTAGAATGTTTACATACCTTGACATGATTTTAAAGTATAATCTGGATCATTAGAACCATCTGGGTCTGCTCGCCTCCCCCAAGTTTTTGTACATAGGTTAGGGCCCTCCGATATGCCAGGCTCTGAATGCCATGTCAGTTCCCTTAAGACTTGAGTTTGAATCGTTTAGGGACTCAGGCTTCATGAGCGAGAGGCAATTAAACATGTTCAGCATTACCCTCTGCAAAGAGGTCACACTGGCATAGAAAGTTCCACATCTATACTATTAAAACCTTCCAAAACAGCACAGATTCATCCAAACTGTCAGCCGGAAAAGTCCTAGGCCCATACTAATCCTTGAACTGTGCCTGGTGATCAATCCATGTCAGACCATTCAAACAATTCAATCATATCTAATTCCAATATCCAGGAATGTTCCCTAGCATATTGAAGTTAGATGTGACCTCACAGTCTTGTCATAGGCTGGGCAGAAGCCCGTCTCCCAACAACAGCACTTCTCCCTTTATGGGATGCAAGAGTAGCACTGTTTAGGGTTCGCTTCAGGTAAGTATCTGGCCGCTGCTCCCGTATGTCCTCCGTGCCTTTGAGCACAGCGAGGACACAAAAGGGTGGAACGGTGACCCACAGCATCCTTTGCCAGCCCTACTGAAAGGATAAGAGGAAGAAAAGTTGTATGTATGAATATCCCCCCAAATGTGCCATTATTTTAAGTCATCTTCCTTTCTCCTCCACGTGCACATTCATGCTGTGGGAAACATTCCTAACCGCGCAGTCTACCTGCAAGAAGGTCTAGAAATCCCAAGAAAAGCATGGTCCTATTCCAAGATTGTTAATGGCTACAGTGACACGAAAGTGCTCAACTTCTTAACAGAATACTAACCAAAAAATATCTTTCTCAAATTCCCAAATGATTCAGAAAAGACCAGGTAGACACAGATCTGAAAAATTCACAAGGAAAATATCCGAAGTTCTACAGAGGAACAGGATGTCTTGGAAAAATATCTCCCATCCAAACTTGATGAGAGGATCCCAGAACTGACAAAGTGTGGGGGGAAAAAAAAAAAAAAACAGCACTAGGAAAAGAGATGATATTTAGGCCAGATAAAGCCTATTTTCGCTTCTAAATTTCCAGTCAGGGTGAAAGACACCATATTAGGTGAGAGGGACCTAGTTATACATTTGAAATTTGGCCTATTTATCAGAAATATTATTTCCTACAATTAATTAGATTGTCTCTCCAGAAGCAAGGACAAGACTGCATATTATGAGAAGACATGTATATTATGGTCTTTCACACCAATGAAGAAGGAAGCCCTGGAACTTGGACTGCTCTAGTTGACCCAATTATAATTTCCATAGTGCACAATTTCCATCTTGTCACACCTCTTTGAAGCTTCCTGGAAGAAAAGGAAAAGCATATACTAGGGAATTTAACCTGAGAAGGAATAAAGAATAGAGAGAAAAATTGCAGGGATCACACTAGAACCAGAGCAGCTGACACTTTCTATTGATTTCTAAGATAAAAATATCAGCTTCTGGAAGCCTCAGGTCATAAAATTAAATTTTAGAATGTTATCCTAAATCTCCTACTCACCGCCCACAAGCCTAAAATAGGTCAAATTTGCTGTTAGTGTATTCAGAGCTTCTAGGAATTCGTACGGTAAAGCTGACACTGGACAACCTAATCTGAAAGCTTAACCAGTTCCTAGCACAGCAGAAAGAATTCCAGTCTGTTCACGTACCACACCGTGACAAGTTCCTGTATATTTTAATGTGGTAAAGAAATTTGCATATTCTTTGAGGAGCACATTCGTAAAAATATGAGTCTTCATCTGATCCATGATGACCAGAGATTCTTTGCTCCAAGGCTGAGTGGCTTGTCCAGGAGAGTAAAGGGGCACGGACAGGATTATGGAATGAGTAGCTCTTTCGATACACTGAAGGGATCTTGCCAACACTGTGGAAAATTTAAAATTTACAGGTGAAATTATGGGCTGCATAGTCTTGCAGTGCTTTTCAGAGCCATAATCAGCTGTGCCTCTATGTTCTGATAGGAAAGGTCATTAAAGTAAATGGCACTATGTAGTCCAGCACAGCCTGACAGAAGTTTGAAAACGTGTTAGATGTTCTTCACTTTTAGAAATTGTGAGGAATGTAACCTTAAACTGTGACCATGGCTTAATGAGATTTTTGCATAACCACCTTTAGTCCAACAGACTACAGAAAGTACAAGTGAAAACCTAACACTCATTCAAGAGAACTACCTTTCTCCAGCTAATCTTCATAGTGAGGACAGAAAGGCCATCCACGGCCTCTGAGAACGGGACACCATCACCGTGGGCACTCTAAAGATATGGAGAGACCAAACTCTGCAATGTTCCTGGCAAATAATACAAAATACTTCCCAGACATATACATCACACTATGGAAACAAAAACCTTACAAACTGAGAGATACAAATCACACTAATTGAAGCAAACATAAAATAGCATCAAATTTTATCTTTTGATTTCTTCTTTATGTTGCAAATGGACCTCTGTACTCTTTTGACTTGAAAGTAGCTCCATCCCTACTGGTTTCCTGTGCAGCAAAAGGGAACTGATATTTTTAGCCACACTCATCCAAAGCAAAAATGGGAATGGTCCCCCTCAGTAATAGGGTTGGGAGATGTTTTAACCAATGCCAGTGATGTCCAGCACTGGGACACCCAATGAAAGGACAGACCCCCTATTCTAAACACAATTCTGAAGAACAGGGAATATTTCTGAAAAAGAGAAATGGCAGTCTAAGTGTATTAAACACACAGACATTGTGTTTATGCTTCAAACATTGTCGACACTTTGGCTGCGTACAAAACCACAGGAGAGCCATATTCTGCAGTGTGTTCCCTCATGCCAAACTCCCCAAAACAGTTTGTAGCACGGGATAGCACAGAACAGCACATTCCTAGAAAGGCAAAACAGAATAATGACTTCATGAACTAAAACGCAGCATGACAGAGATTCGAACTCTCCTTCACATGGCATTTTCCTTGTGCTGATAGTCTTTAGACAGTGAACTTTGTAATTAATGAGACAAGTCTTCATTCATAGCTTATCTAACCTAGGTAATCAGGCTTTTATTACAACCATTCCCTGAAAAACTTCAGCATTAGTATTTCTGGTAGCAGTAATTAGAACTTGGAGATATCCTAACTCTCCTCAGGGTGCGGATGAGCATGGTGACAACACACGTTTGCATTAAAACTGACTAGGTTATCGTCATCTCAAGCATCTTCCACATGCAGGATCAACTCAGAGTACCTGACAGGAGAAGATGTCTACTGAAAATATGTTCCGAAAGACTCTTGGTTGCTTCTTCTTCACAGATAGTAAAGAATTCATAGGGGATGTATGACTACTTGGGTCCAAAGAAAGACATCTCATAGACGGAGAGTGCTGAAGTTTCTAGAGTTCGCCTTTTCCCTTGAGCCTCGACAAACAAAGTACTGAATGGGTAAAAACTAAAAAAACTATTAAAAATAACTACAATTAATACCTTGTATTAAAAATAGCTAAATAAAAGACAAGAAAAGGGAATAAAGAAATCGGAAATTCCCATTATCAACTTCTGCCAGCCAATGCCATCACTATGCGTATGCAAAAGAGAAAAAACACCACCACCATCAACAACAACAACAAAACTTTAACTGGATGTCATGAATTGAAGATACCACTGGTCAAAAAGTCCCAATTTCACCTTCTTTGAGGACATACATGTACAGAAGTTGAGAACAGAGCAAAATTAAGAAGAATGTCTTCCAGGTCTTAAGGAATGGGGAAAAAGTGAGCTAGAAGCGAAGCGCTCTCAGATGGGATTGTGTATTGTTGCAGAGGGGAATGTATAGAGAAAGGAAAAGGATGCTATTAACAGAAGAATAATGATACAAAAGTTGAAAAGGGAAAAAAAAAAAACCAGGAAAAAATGGCTATGGTCCTACTCAGTTATAAAGAGTATAAGTCTACCATAAGATTAAAATGTATTAAGAGCTAGAAGTTAAGTAGAATACAGAAGTCATACTACTTCGTTAACACTTTTTTGTTCACACTTTGTAGTGATATGGTTCATTGTGAATTAAAAATAGTATATAGTTCTAAACTTATATTCCATCCCATGGACCTCAATTAGAAATAAAAGAACAAGAGGCTATACACATACAATCCAGAGTTAGACCTTAAACCTCTCTCAACACACTGCGTAATGGAACTTTATTTTAAACAATTTTATATATAGTTATTGTTATTAGCAAAAACATACATCTATCTACAAATGGAGGATGACATAATCTTTTAGATTGTGTCTCCACACAGTGTGGAGGATTTTTTAAATAAGGAGTATATGGATACAGTGCAACTATTCACTTACTCCTAAGGCCAAAAGAGGCATCATGCTTATATGAAATGGATTACCAATCCCATACATTGCGCTATATCAAGAAAAAATCATATTTTTAATATCTCTGAGTAAAGCTTCTCATTTTCTAGAAAACTATCTGTTTTTTATTCTTAGAAAGCAGCCCATTCCGGGGCTTACTACACAGAACCAAGCTTTGAATGAATATGAAAAAAACAAAAGTCACTTTCATTACTGCAGAAAACAAGACCAGTATTTCAACATAGAAAAGACAGCAATACAAATTATTTTTTGCTGCAATATTTGGTAACTATCCTATCAAACATGCATTTTTAAGTTGAATGAGCTAACTTACTATATCAATAACTCAGGCTATATACGAACAACGGTTCTTGAAGCAGATATATAGTATCAGTCTTCCTAAGAGTGTTTGGTTCTATTTTTATTCCTTTTATTCTTATTATATTCTGAAGTTAATTAAAAAATATAAAATGAGGATAAATGAAAGGATAAAGTTTCTCTAAATAAGGTTATTTTTCCAGGATAAAGGAAATTAAGAGGATCATACCAATTCTCATTCAAACCATCACCACTGTTACATCCAGTTGCTACTAAGACAAAAAATTAATTTGTTTGACCTACTCAAATAATTTTACAGGATATAATGAGGAATCCACTGGCAATGACGTTTTGAGTTCTGCCTGGCAACCCTTCCTTATGGCACCTGGTGAGCTCTCTCTACTGCAGTGATGTTTGTTTTCAGTCACATTATCAGCTGCTATCAGTCACCTTATCAAACACTACTAAATGCACTAAAGTATGTGCTACTACATATTCACTTTAAGCAGCCACTCTGCAAATTTTATCAGGGATAAATCAGGTTTAGCAAGGTCTGTTTTCCATACTAGCACTATCACTATTATTATTTCTTTTTATTATTTATTAATGCCAGTAATAATTTATTGTCAGTCATAGTTGTCATGCTAGCTGGACTTTAATTCCTCATGGTAAATTTGCTAGTCTTTTCTTAATATTACTGTTAGAATCGTTCCAAAACTTCCCTGATTTCCAGAAGTTAGACATCTTCTCAAGCCATTCTTATGATTTTTCCAAGTTATCTATTACCTTTAATATCTACTAGCTTTAAAATGTCAACCACTAGAAAATTCTTGTTACAATGGATAGTGGATAATTGGTCATTCTCTTTCATTTCCATCTTTAAAAAATATTTTGAAAAGCCTTGTTTTTTCTTTACAATCTTGTAACTTTTAACATTTACACTTTTAGTAGATATTTCCTAATTGTAGTATTGCTTTTGATCTTTTTTCCTTACTTTTTATAAAAAGGTGAATGGAGAGAAATGTCCATATTTTGCTTCTCTTCTTAATTTATTATGTATCATTTTACATTCATTTTTTTCTGTACATGGTAGTGCTTCCATTAATTGGTTTGCAATTCTTGATCTTGCTTCCTTAGACTGGAGCCTAGGTGTTAAATCTTCAGTGTTGCAGAGCCCTTTTATTTTCACAAATCTCTTCTCAAAAGGAGAGTATACCAAACTGTGAGCAAATACTATCTGTCTGAAGCTGGAAGGCTTCTTTGTTATGTGCTTTGTATTCACGCTCGCATGACCTGAAGTTCTTGTTCATTCCCTTTAAATGCAGTTTTGCTACTGCATATTGAATTATGAAAAGGTTAGTGCATGCAAAACAGGCATCACTTGGCTTTTAAATACCCGGCTCCCCAGAAGGCAATTCAGAACCTTTGACTTAAACAGCTACAATACCTGCCCACAAATGGCACAGTGAGACTTAGGCACATCAGCTAGCTCTTTGGCAGAGAATCATCTAAAATGAGAATACCCAATGTGCAGGTGCCTAAAAGAAGTCAAAGAAGAGAAACACTGAAGGTTCATCTATTTCTGACAACCACTCCTGTTTCAAGGATAAGGATCTATCCCAGGGCCTATGAAATACACCCACCTTAATTTAAGACCAGTGAGTATAAGCAGCCATATCCTCTTATGAAAGAACTGAGAAAAGCTGACTTTCCTTTCAAAGGTGCTCAGTGATGGTGGCAAACCCTTGAAGAGAGGGATGGCACATCCACATGGGAAAAAAACATCCTGGCCTCTACTCCCTTAACCACTGAATGCCTCTATACGTTATCTTTGGTTTAATCTACAGAAAATATCAAAACAATCGTAAGAATATTACACCATTTGACAGTTCAACACCATCTTTGCAAAGAACATTTCAAGCATAAAGGGCAAGGATTTCCTCTGAGTAACTATGAATAGTGTCTATAAGAAAGTCTGTACGGAATCTCTGAATGTCGGCTAAAAACTGGCAGAGACATTGAAAATGGCTTGTGTTTTCAATGACAGCCAGGTTAATTAAAACAAACAAACAAGCAAAAATAACCAAAGCAGTTTGTAGTAAAATACTCATTTTTTTTAATCTAAGAAGTCAAACAAAAAGAAAATAAGATCATCTCACTTTGCATACAGACTGCCCCAACCCCTGAGAGATATTCCTGAAATGCACCATACTCGTGATGGATTTG